GTAGATAGCAAAAGTTTTGTGTCTCAATAGAAAACTATGCCTGTCTAGAGCACACCCTCCTTCAGGATTATCATATTTTAACTCTGTGAATTACCTTGGAGTATTTTTCGCAGTCCTGCATAAATTATGGATGACTAACGATGCGTAACTTCTGTACTTTCTAGTAGTGATCTAATTGATGTCTGTCCTTCCTCCCCCTCCTTTCCCTCTAGTTATGTCTTCATTTCCAATGAATCTCATCATTCCTTTACCATGTCTACATTACGTGCTGCTTGACTTTCCTCTGAATGAGTCGTAACATCTGCTTGGTTCCTTCATATCATAGGAATTAAATAAATCTTTAAGCACTCTTTCATTTTATATCTGTGTGAGAGTGGTGACTTTGCCTATTCTAAAATTTATTTTTTAACTCTGTGTGTGTGTGTGTGAGTGTGCATTTAGTGATAAAAAGTTGCCAGTGGCTTAGAAATGAGGCCCTTGTTTAAGGTTGAATCAATGTGCAGTTTCACACATGCGTGTGCCCAGTTTTTCTCATTTACGATCTCACAAATATATGGTGACAGAATCACATTTACACAATATTTTAAAAAATAGACCCTTAACCATTATCTCACTGATTTCTTTCAACATCTCTAGGCTTTGATAAGGTTGTCAGATTTTCATCAGGAAGGAAAGTACGACACATAGACAGTTAAGTGTTTGGAGAGTAAAAGTCACAAGTGAATCTCTATCTTGTTGGGGAGAAAACCTTTTTGAAGACCTCCTCTGCATCCTCACCTGCATGCTCACCTTGCTGTCTGTCTGAGCGCTGACTCACTGTGATGAATATTCTCCCCTCCTCCCCGAAGCTGGTCCTGTGGTTACCTTGACTGCACTTGGAGAACATGTGACTGGAGAGCCCGCGTTTTGCTTGAGTCGGTCTGTGTTTATGACTGAGGCAAGAGGTAGCTACCGACTGCTGGAGACAGGGACAGGGTTGCCTTGAGCTTGCTTTCCAGGCAGATCCACCATCTGAGTTAAACTCTAACCCAGGTCCAGGATATCCCCGTCTAAATTTACAAGAGAAAGTAACCAGGTGACCCAGCTCATGCACAGTAAGTCTCTGCACGCCCCATCCCTGGCCATCGGGGGTGCTAATTCCTCCATCCCTGTGGTGGGCTTTGGGTGCCATGACTGTTCCTCCAAAAAAGCCGGCACTGATGGAGGGCGTGAAACTGCTCATGGTAGGAACAAAGCTTGAGCCCAAGCCCTCAATCCCATCCCAAGCCCTAATGCTAAAACTTCAACACCCAGTCTCTTGAGGCCATGAGCTTTGCTCCCTCCTCCCGCTCAGGAGAGCACTTTCATTTTGCTCAGGACACCAAGAGCCAGGACAAGACCCCCGCCCAGTCACATGACCAGTGAAGAACACTCTAACATAGTAGCAACGATATTCAAACTCTGGGTTTCTGTCACCAGCAAGGCGGAGTTGCTGATATGCTGGTCTTATAACTATAAAGTTGCTATGCCTTTCAAAAATGATTTCTTCATTATAAACTCTCCTGGCTACATAGGTACTGGGCATTCTGACTCTACAGGCAGCAAGTGAAATCCTGCTCTGTTGAGTCCGATGGGTGCAGCAGGAAACAGCCTTCATCTTCCTAAAGGTTGAGGCAGGGAGTCTTTTCGAAGTCGCCTGTAAAAAATTGAACTTTGACATTACACAAACTCCAGAAATAAAAACTCAGGGGGAGAGTGTGAGTGTATGTAAACTGGGGGTCCTATAAAAGCTGAGTATGCTTAGAATCCTGTACAGGAGACAAAATCGGTGGAACACAGGTGAGAGAATCCATGGTCACTCCACCTGCGGGCACAGCGCACTTGGCTCTTGTGCCTCCTACACACGTGCAGGGAGGGAGCGATCACGTCCGAGGCACCCACCCAGCTTGAACACTGAGCGACATGTCTGAATATTTCTGGGATATTTATAGGGTGCTATTTTGGGGAAAATATGCAGTTTCTATTTTAAGCCATAAACTGGATGGACGAAATCTTTAGAGTAGATGATCTTGTTCCTAAGGGTGTATTTCAACTGAAATCGGTACTATTATTGCCTCTGGAGACACGAAGGAGAGTGAGGCAGGTAGTGTATCTGAGAATGATAGAACTCAGTTTGATGCTATCGCGCGCTTGAATCTGCTTAGAAACAAAGTATATAATTTTCAGTCTTTAAGGCATCATTAGATGTAGTTTCTAAAACATAATATGAACATGTTTGTAGTTTTTCCCTATAGTGCTATAAAAGTATTATATTTTATGTATTTCTGTGTTATATTTTTCAGCAGTCATATGTGGCCGAAGAGCATATAGAACGAAAATCGTGACCTGTAGCTTCTTCTGGAGTTGAGACACCGTAAACGTAAGAAGTTTAATAAAAGTTTTTAGTTGTTCACAGAATATTAATGTCTGAAATTATTTTTCTATGTTTAGGGGTAAAATGAAATTCTTCATTTTATACTAAGCTGATAAATACTTAAAGGGAAATAATTGAATGAGCTTAGCTTACAAGGAGCTGTGTTAAAAAGCATTTGTTTATTTTTTTATAAGAAGCCCCTTGGACTCTATTTGTAAATCCTTAAAGAAATAGATTAGCAGGAGTAGAAAGCTACTGATTCCCAGGGGCAGAGAAAATTTGACCCCAAAAGGTAAAGTTACATCTGAGTCTTGGAAAACAGGAAATTTCAGATGGTTTTTGGCAAAACACATAGTGTCATTCCATTTCTCGATGTGCTAAAGTTTCCCGTAGCTCAGGAATTCTCCAAAGACAGAAACTTTAGTTTCAGAAGGAGGACTAGTAGAAACAATAACAGCGAGACAGACTTAATGAGTGCAAGCAAATAGCATTGTAATTGTGACTTTTCAGAAAAACTGCAAATTCAAATTTCAGAATGTGTCCCACAGGACAGAACATTTCCCAGAGAGCTCAGAAATAATCTTTCCAGGGGTAGAGGGATGGAGCTATTGTGCAGAAAGGAAGTTATGTGTGTGTGTGTGTGTGTGTGTGTGTGTGTGTGTGTGTGTGCACAGCAGACAGCCTGTGAATGATGGTAGGATAAACTACATCGCAGAGCTGGGCAGGGCTGGGCTTGCTGGAAATACACGTTTCTTTGTTTTGTTAGTTCCCCAAGAGATAAGTGAAAGCCTAGATTTATCCTTCTTTTTCAGTCCAGAGGAAAACACCCAAGGAAGACATCAACAGCAATAACAACAAGGACAAAGGCTGGGTGTGCTGCGAATTCCATCCGCATGAGGTATGCTGGGAAAAGCCTGGCAAGGAATCTCGGTTTGGTGAAAAACAGATTCAGTGCTTGTTCTGCTCCATGAGTTAGCCACCAAAGAAATGTGGGTGTGTGCAGTCCCACAGAAAATAGCCTTCAACAAAACCCATGAATCACTTTTGTTAATTGCTAAAGAAAATATGTACTAAGGGCTCATTTAGCTCCTAAAATTCAAGCAAAACAAAAACCAAGCAGGCATCTCCAACCCCCATTCATTTATAACTGAAGATGGCCGATGGATGCAGACAAATGCGATCATTGCATCTTGGCACAGCCTCCTAGAAAGGGAACGTTCCTAAAACCTGTATCATTTTAGTGCAGTGAACCTCAAGGTTATTAAAACACGGCCAATCCTCCTCCTCTCTTTCATTAAGCCCCTGAAAGGAATGTGGTGAGCTGGAGTTGGTGAAAGTTAGCCTTTAACTGATGATCTCGGGTTGGTCTCCCTCCTGGAGAAGGTCACCATGAATCAGAGCTGTGGTTTCCCCTACTCAAGGAGGCAGGCAGCACTGAGCCTTTTATTGAATTTCTTACAAGATCACACAAGGTATTTTTCAACAGAGTTTCAGAAAGCATCTTGAGAAATCTACAAAAATGGGCTGAATCATCTAACCAAAACCAATCCCAACCACATCTGACCGACTCTGAATCTTGCTCATCTTTTTGCTTGGGAGAAAGTTCTCAGCCTCAGCGAGATGCAAATGTGGGTATAAAGACACTGTTTGGGGTACACAGGGAAGAAGAGCAGGATTCTGGGCGCTGCAAACCTGAAAACTTTATCGCGAGTGGAAAATGCATATGATACGACTTGCCAGTTGCTTTCTCTGGACAGCTGTCAAGAATCAAACTAACAAAGAGATACTATCATGTAGAAGTAACTGGGTTATGAATCTGCGGCTAAAAATTATAATTTGGGGAAGCAAAGTAGCACTGCATACCCTTACAGCATTCATACCGCAGCAGTCATGGTACAGACCAAACTAGTCTTTTTAGCCTTCCTTTTGTTTGTTTTGTTTTAACTCAGCTACAGCATTTTTTTTCTTTCTAAACTCACAAAACAGGTTAGGTTTCCTCTGTCCTGTGGCCTAATCCTTAGTGTGAGGGCTGGTGCTAATTTGACTGAAAATCTCTCAGCTCAAAGAGAATTTGGTTTTGTGATCTATGACAAGACTTTAGGCTTCTAATAGTTAGATCCTGTTTTGAGATAGGTTCAAGGAGGAAGAAGGGAAGGTACAGTGAGTGGATGAGCTGCTGGGGTTTTGACACAGTCTCTTTTCATAGGAGAATCTCATTTCCAGTGGGGAGGCATTTCCTCTGTTTAAAAACATGCTTGTGAAATGAATGACTCAAGATGTCCTTGCAAACAGCCAAAAACATTCTGTGGAGACCAGGGCAGGATGAGCCACACCAGTCTAGTATTTCAGGCTCTTGCTGAGCCAGCTCTTTCCACTGGGGTCCAGAAAGCCTGGAGGAGTCGTGGTGCAGAGCCCCCACCCCCTACCCCCAGCTCCAAAATGCATCAGGGCTGCCTGTCTTGAATAGAAATGGTTCCAACAGGGCTGGGTTCTGTGACACAGCTGGGTTTGACCCCAGCCTGCCTCAGTTTCTCTGGAAGTGTTGGGATTTCCCAAGCCTGTGGACATGTTCCCGATTTGACAAATTTGGCTCAGGTCACAGTGTGGGCAGAGAAGGGAGAGGAATATCAACACCTCAGGTGCTAAGAGAGGTGGGACAAACAGACTTCCTGCAGTGTCCAGTGTGGAGAAAGGCCTTGCTTTGGTTCCAGCTTCCAGGGAGGAAGGTAAAGTCGATTTCCCCTTGCCATGCTGACAAAGGGATGCTGGCCCCAACTTGGCTCATGACTCAGTTCGCATGCAGTGCTAGCCCCGTGTTGCGAGGTCCCCAGCTTCCTACTTGCTCCTAGGCCAGCAAGGCAGTCCTTTCCAGGGTCTGCATTTCCTTTAGAAATCCAGAACAGTGGGAGCAGCCCCAAGCTCCCTAGGGGTCAGCTCGCCCGTGTGACCATGTCACCTCTGTGGGGAGGTGCCAGGCATTGGCCAGTTGCACAGAGCTTCACCCCAACAAGAGAGAACAAGGGCGCCGTGGCTGGGTGGTGCTGGAAAGCCATGGGTCACATTCCAGCCTCATGGGGTGGGAGGAGCTTGCTGCAATGAGAGAGCAGCTCTGTCCCCAACACCCAACAGGGAGGCCAGTAATCAAATAGTAACAGATTGCATTCCTCATGATTAGATTTCTTTCTTTCTGGTACAAGCAAGGCACTGAGTTCCAGGAGGGAGTTTTTATTTATTTATCTGCAATGAGGAAGCAGAAAGAGTATTTCTGGAACGTGTCTGAGTATGCCATCAGACCCAGTGAACACAGGACTTGTGCGTTTGGACAGTCTTGTCCTTTAGAGCCAAGTGCAGTGAAGCTGTTAGAAACAGGGTCTCTTCCATGAAAGAGAGTTCCACGACATCTTCCTAGTGCCTCTTTGTTCTTGTTACCCACACCACATCAGATAACTCAGGCTTCAATTTTTCTCTTTCCAAATGGATTCTTGACAAGGTCTCTCTTCTCTAATCAGAACTTTTTTGATTACTTTCTTAGTCATTTAAAAAAATTCCACGTGTGTTTTGCTTATAGGCAGTCTCTTAAAAGTTGTGGGGAGGCAGGGAAAAGCCCAGAAGCCTCCCTGGCTGCCAGCCTCCACGAGATAATCCTGCTGCCTGCTCTGATGCTCCCGTTTCCATCCCAAGACACACAGCAACGATCTTTAAAAATCTTTTATCGTATTTACTTTCCATTTACTGTTACCGAAGAAGACTGCTTTTCTTCTCATGTCCCTTGGCCCATCACATCCAGGAGGACAGTATTCTGTATGACCTTATGACCTATTTTTGGTGTGGAAGAAATACCTTGACATCGTTGGTAGGTGCGTCTCTTTTCTCTGTCCCGCAAGTGTTCGTGTCCCCTAGGGGCGGCTGGGCACCTCCAGGGAATGCGCAGTGCTTGAGCCAGATGCTGGCACTTTGGTTTTCAAGGCTTTCAAGAAATCCAGCTCAAATATGTTTACTAACCCACAACCTGAATTGAAAATCCTCAACAGCAGACTTTTGCTGGGGACGGAGGGAGGAGAGCTGTCTGGGCAGGGAGATGGCAAGGCCTTTACCCTTCTGCTCGGTCCAGCAGGAACACCAAGAAAGAAAGCACCTGGAAAGGGACAGAACAGCGGCCTTTATGTTGCAACAGAGTTGGCGGCAAACAGAGGCTTTCGGTTTGTGGTGGTGAATTTACACTGTTACCATGAGACCAGAAACAATGGGAGTTTTATAAGATGTGTTGACAAACCAGAAGCACATTTAGCCTGGAGAAGCAGGCTGCTGTGGCAAATGTCTGACATTCAGTCATGATACTCAAAATAGCTCTCTTCCCAATAGGCCAGCCAGCTTGGAACGTCCTCCTGTATCTCAGGTACCTCGAGCCGTAAATCCATATTTAATTAGATCTGAATGAAATGCAAAGGATGATAGGCTCTTTGTGCTAAAAACGAAGCCGAAGTGGGCCTAGTTGATTTATGTCTAATTCAGAGTTGTAATTTAATTAAAACGACATACTGAATCTAAAAAATCTCTCTGGCAGAGCCCATCCCACGTGAAATTCAAATTCAGAGCCTTGTATCTTAGGACTCTCCATGTTCTATTTCTTTGTCACATTGCTTAATATGTTTATTCATCCTCCTCAACAGCTTACTTTCTTAACTGGCTTGTTTCTCATTAAATCACTGAATTTCTTGGTGACTCAAATTTACGAAGCTCAAGTTTGAATACAAACATATCTTTATTTCTTAATGGACAAGTCATTTGACAAGCCTTTGAGTACTGCTTTCTTCTATACCCAGTTGTGTTTATGAGAGGAGGTTAGCACTGTCTTTAAATATAGGTTGCCGAGGCAATGTCACAAATGAAAAGGCAGAGAAAATGATGGCTTTCTAAAACTGTGCTGGAAGGTGACATGGAGATATCAACGGGAAAGTGAAAGTTACAAAGTGTATCTAAAAATGCAAAATCGAAATCTTAATTATTATGCAAATTGCACTAGAAAAATTCCCATTAATGAAAGCTTCCATCTTCTCTCACTCTAACAGAGCTAAAAAGTTGTAAAATAATGCAAGTTCAAAAGCAGTTAATGACTTATTTGAGACAATTTAAAAAATGTGCTTTGTATTCTTTTTTTGGGGAGGTGCTGGGGATCAAACCAAGGGCCTTCAGATGGGGTTACTTCCCCCAGCACTTCTTCATTGGCCACGTACTTTCTGTATGATGTGCTGCCTTGCTACAGGCCTAAAGCAAGCGGGCCAATGCACTGTGTCCTGAAACCTCTAAAACTGTGAGCCAGAACGAGCCTTTTCTCTGTGTAAGTTGATTATTTCAGGTATTTTACTACAGTATGAGAAAGCTGTCGGACACCAATAACCTGTGTCTCTCCTATGACTTTTTGTATCTGAACCGGAGGGAAATCCCCCACTTCAATATCTTACTGAATACCTGTCTCTGTGAAGAAATTAGAGAAATTCTTTATTTCTCTCTCCAGCTGTGCGAGGGCTGCATCCCAGCTGCGGTGCACATGCACTTTAGGCAGGGCTGAGGGGACCTAGGCCTCTGGTGTTTAGCTCTCTCTCAGCTCAGGAGCACCCTTTCATTTTGCAGAGGGCTTTCCTCGATTCCAGCACTGGCTTCTCTGTCTGTTGTGAGTGCCCACTGAAGGTGACTATTTCATCCCTGGAACAGGCAGACTTGTTTTGTAGGATCAGGGGGACTGGGCATCTTCCTCATGCAGACCTTTCTTCTTTCTTTTTTTTAATTAATTAATTTTATTGGTACATTTAAAGAATTCAATGTAGTGACATTCATGGTTGGGGATTTATACCTTTACATAATCCATCTTGGCTCTTATTTTTTTCCTATTTCTTTCTA